CAAGCGTAGAACCTGACTTGACTTGTAGTTAGACCAGTCTGATGCATGCGTTTTGTTAACTGATGCTGGACAGCTGGGTTAGCCTGTGACTAATTTCTCAGTTTGGATGCTTTAAATGTCAAAAGAAACCCTGATTTGTCCACATTGCATGTATGTCTGATCGAAGGAATGCAAGTTGTACAGGTGTGACGATCGGTTGACCGTCACACCGTCACGGTCGGTTGACCGTCACACCGTCACGGTCGGCTGAGCGTCACACCGTCACGGTCGGTTGGCCGTCACACCGTCACGGTCAGTTGACCGTCACACCGTCACGGTCGGTTGCCCGTCACACCGTCACGGCCGGTTGACCGTCACACCGCCACGGTCGGTGACCGTCACACCGTCACGGCCGGTTGACCGTCACACCGTCACGGTCGGTTAGCCGTCACACCGTCAAGGTCGGTTAGCCGTCACACCGTCAAGGTCGGTTGACCGTCACACCGTCACGGTCGGTTGACCGTCACACCGTCACGGTCGGTTGACGTAACACCGTCACGGCCGGTTGACCATCACACCGTCACGGTCGGTTGACCGTCACACCGTCACGGTCGGTTGACCGTCACACCGTCACGGCCGGTTGACCGTCACATCGTCACGGTCGGTTGACCGTCACACCTGTACAGTTTGCATTCCCTTTGTCCAGCTTGCATTTAGAGGAATGCGAGGTGAGCAAACGCGACTCCATTTATGGAGTATTTTAATCGCGGCGTATCATCAGCAGATCAAATGGATATCCATCATAGTTTGAAGAGACTCCTGCAAAAGGGATATGACACCATTCCCTAAAACGACGCTGTGCAGGGATGCGATTTGCCCCGCTCTGCAGTGGAATTTTTTTGGCGTAATTTTCGGTGTCAAAAAAACTCCTTGATTGCTCCTTAAAAGGTGTCTACACCGCTCCCTAAAACGACACCGCGCAGGGATGCGATCTGGACGACCGAGCAAAGGAGGTTTTTGCGACGGTTTTTCAGTGCATATTGACTCTCAAGTCTTCCGGTTTTTTCAGTCCGTTTAGGCTGGTCAGTTTCACAACTGATGTAGCGTCAGTCCAAGTTGAAAAAATCAGACTCACCCTAGCCCATCACGTGTATTCCTCACGATCGGGTATAATCCAGCCAGCGAGGAGCTCCGCGTCCCAGTCTCACCTTCGTAATTAATTCTGCCGTCCTTGTCGGCGTCGGCCATCTCAATAAGCGAACTCAACTCCGATTCCGTCATCCGCTCCTCTATCAGCTCCATAGCCCGCCGCAGCTCGTCCTGCAGCGGCACGCGGGGTCATGTGACACGGGCGGATGACGCGAGTGAAATGACACGGGGTCAGATGAAGTGGGGTCAGATGACACTAAGTCAGCTGACACCGGATCAGATGGTAATGGTCAGATGAAATGAGTTAGGAAGGCGAACGGGCTGAAATGTCCCGGGTTTAGATGCCGCGCGGTCAGATGACGCGTCGTCCCACGCGGGGTCACCCCGGTCACACGGGTCACCCGACAACGTCTCACTCAGCGGGACCCGCATCAGGCTGAGAGGCCAGCAAACCAATCTGAAGAGAATGTGTTGTGAAAAGCCGGCCAGCGTAGTCTGGAACATTGCACTAGCGTGGTAATACAAACGAAAAAATGCTGGATGCGTTGTTGAGGCTCAGCAGAGTTCAGGTCAATGACTGGCTCATTGACAGTCTTATGTGCTCAAGTTGGCGCTGCGAAGTTGGCAGGGAAAGGCCCGAGGAGCAGGCGGATGGGGAGGAGGGCATGGGAAACTTTTGGAGGTACGTATTAGGAAAAGTTTGAGACTTTTTGGCGGGGCCTGACGTTCGACCTTCAGCTATTTACCGGCCAAATTCTAAAAGCTAAATAGACAAACACATTTCGTTTGATGTGTGTGGCTTAAACATTAATTTGGGTTGTCGGTATAACACCTTTGCAAGCGGTTCTAATTGATCGTTTACGTATTATGTGACCATTATCACCACTTGCATTACACGAATCACTTCCACCTATGAGCCTTTGCTACAAACACTCGGGACCAATTAGTCCAATATGGCAAGATCATCCGGCGTGTCTCATCCACGTTCCAGCAGCGGCACAGCGCCGTCCGTCGCTACACCCACCATGGTGATGTAGCCGTTGCCGTCTTTATCGAAGAGGCGGAACGCTGCGAAGAGGTCGTTGGTCATGTCTGGCGTCTTGTCGGCCGACAGGGTCTGCATCTTGAGAAACCAGGTGATGAACTGCGCCTCACTGATCAGGCCGCCAGCTGCGAACAGAGACGCAGCGGCGTGGGTTCGATTCTGGCACGCATAACTTTTTGACGAGGCGCGTGGCTGCTGGACACTTGCTGCATACCACCAGGGAAAAAGATGCAGGGCTAGAAGGAAGTCTGGTGCATACATTGCAGTAAAGTGCTAGTATTCCACTAAATATGCATTTGTGCGTTAGAATTCAATGTTACACAACACTTTTGGCAGCCTGTGCCTGAAGGCAGCTTTGGGCAGATGCTATAATGACGAATGCTTTTAAAATTTGCATAAAGATTATGTTCATAATTTTTGTAACAAGCTCTCAGGGAGTTGCATGCTGTATGATACTGATAGCACGCATCCCCTGTTAGCATAAATTCAGCATGTTCCACAGACGGATGATATGAGACGCCTGAACCGGTCCGGCCTCCAACGCACGACCATCCAATTTCCGATCCGAAACGTTGCCGACTGAGCTTCTGAAACCGCGTGGCATGTCCCTAAAGTCGGAGAATTCACGGCGCGCCGTGCGCGAGAATTTTGACCGGAACGCCTTGCGAGTTTGGCTTCTCGTCACAGAAAAGAGTCAACGTATCGGCACTACATCGATAAGTCGGTAATCGGTAAGGCTGCATCAAAAACAGCACCATTTGCCAGCTCTTTGAAGATCGGTTTACTGCGACGCACTTTTGTGTTGTCTAGTTGGGACGTAATTAAACTTTGGCCAGCCTTCGCCGCTGTTGGCCGCGCAGCCCCGGAAATTACTTTTGCCTTGCAATTAAATAAAATATCCGCCCTGACAGCATCACTGGCTGGGAGAGAAACATAACCAGCCTCATCTCGATATACCAGCAGTGTGCAGCACGCGTCATTATTTTTTTCAGCACCAGGAAGCTGTGAAAGCTCACTTATTGGCTGTGCGGCTCAACCGATGACGTCATGATCGCTTGGATGAGTCCATTTTACGAACCTATCCCGGCGACCGCGGGCAGATGCGACGCGGGTGCACGGCTCTTCTAGAAAGGGCGGGTGTTAGTTATGGGGCCTGAGAACAAGGAAGATTCGCTCGTGTTCCTCTGTGGACACGTTAATAATGTATGAGGTGCTCTCGGAATGGGCTTCTCTGCATGCGCGCGGCCAGGACCCCGCATGGGAATTTCCCCCCCCCCCCCCTCTCTCGTCAGAATGCAGCACAACTTTCTTCTTATGACAACTTTTTCTCATGACACTTTTGACAGATGGCACTTCCTCACACAGCTTTTTTTAAGGCAGTCGAGATGTGATTTTTTTCAAAATCACATCTGCCCCCTTCATTCCATAGTCCTGAGACATCCCCTACACAGGTTTCTGTCTTTCACTCCATAGTCCTGAGATGGTCCTCACATCCATCCTTTTCCTTCATACTTTGGTACTGAACCCATGGTAAGACGTTTGACCCTTAGCGTGATGCTGCTCTCCCGGTCAGTGCCACCCCTCACCGTTCTCGCCCGCTGACGTCATGAGGTCTCCGATGAGGGCATCGTCGACGTCGATGTCCAGTTTGTCCTGCAGCATCCGCTTCAGCTCGTCGGCGGTGATGCTGCCGTCGCCGTTCTTGTCCGTTAGTCGGAACACCATCTTCAGTTCTGTTGTCGCCGGTCATCACGCGGTCAGAAACAAGGACGATTCTAGGTCGTCATTTCTTGCAACAGGCTGAGAGGAAGAAGATTCTCTACGTGCACATCGACGCTTTCCCTATCAGTCCGCGTTATGAAAAAAGGTGAATCAGAGCAAGGGTCGAAGCTTAAACTGCGTGACCATCAACGGTCAAATCTGGCCATAATTGTCAGTTTGACCAATGTTGACCTGAGAAGACATGGCCTTGCAAGCCACCAGAACGATGGTAATAACCTTCAGAGTTGCAAGATCAGAAAATTGTTCCAGAAAACGTCTGTAAAGTGCATGTCCTGTGAGAAGCGTTAGGCCATTTTTAGCCAAATGCCACCCGCATGACCTGAACAACTAGGTTATAGGCCATGAACCACGGGGTTCAGAACTCTCACAGTTGTCTAAAATGTGTAAAAATTAGTTTAGAGAACACGGCTAAAATTTCAGCACCGCGCGCAAGGCCGTTCAGAAATTACTCTGGAAAAAACTTGGGGAACATTTCAGGGAACTCCCACACTTTCGTAGTGCGAGGGTAAGTGGACGTAACTTTTGCTTAATTTTGTCATTCAACGCAATTGGAGCATTACCCAAGCAAAAATATGTCCTCAGGAGCACCCATCATTGGTGAATGATGCTTCTTATGGATGCTGATGGGTGCTATGAGACCAGTGATCACACATACGTACATTCTAACGGTATGTCAAAGCGTGCCCCGGCCGCGTTTAAGAGGTCCTAACGATCCTATCCAGCGCTAAAGAGGCCCTGATCACCCTACCCAGCCAACAAGAGGCCCCGACGACCCGACCCAGCGTGTAAGCAGCCCTGATGACCCGGCCCAGCAAACAAGAGACCATGATGACCCGACCCAGCGCATAAGCAGCCCTGATGACCCGGCCCAGCGAACAAAAGCTGGACAGCATGACCTGACATAAGTACGAACATGACCCAACCCAGCGTATAAGAGCCCCTGATGACCAGACCCAGCGTATAACAGGCCCTGTTTACCGGGCCATCTTTGAACAACCGGCCATGTCATACTGGGATCACAGGCTATGACCTGAGCCCGCCATACCTTTGAGTTCGTTGTCCGACACCATGCCGCCGCTGTCCTGTAACGAAATAGCAAGTGTTTTGTCAGATATATTGTGGTCAGTATGGATCACGCCAATAGCAAGTCTGAGTGATATACAATTAGCAATGTCCTTCTGTCTCGAGCTTACAATCGTGGCGTACAGTTGTTACAAATTAAGACGCGTTGCAGTCAGATAAGTACCTCCATCCCTCCATCCTTTCCTCCGCAAATTAGATCAGTTTCAAGTAATGATATTTGGTATTTGCTTGCTATAATAATGCCAAATACGGCACACGCACCATCAGAGGCAGGGACGGTTTTACACGGCTGCCCTGAAAGGCAGTGGTTACCAGGTTCAAAATCTGGCTGAATGCCCTGAGGCATTCCGCTGCTATGCAAACTGCAGACTTAAAAACCATCTCCTAAGTTGAGAGCCATCGGGACGTTGACTGCTCTAGCAGCGATGTTCAGGTGTACCGAACAAGTTCTTTAACAAACTTTTCTCTGAAGTGGTTTTCAACTCCCGATATTTGATCCTGCACGCATGTTGTCTTCAATCTTGAGGTATGTAAAGACATATGAGGTAAAATTTTGATTAATTGTAGACGGATGGCTGCTGATGATAAAGGCTAATGGCAATTATGCCAAATAAATTGTTCCCCAACGCAAATATGTGCTTGTGGCTGCGCGCACAGTATCCAGACTACTGCTGTCTCCAACGCCTGCAGCCTCCGGGCGCCTGCAGCCTTCAGACGCCTGCGGAATCTAGGCGCCTGCAGCATCCAGAAACCTGCAACCTCCAAACGCCTACAGCATGCGCTTGCGCCTTGTGCCCGAAGATAGCTCCATGACTACGCTCGGCATCAGTGATAGTGTTTACGCATGCGCCATTCCTGAATTCAGGGAATGCTCCCGCATCTTTCAAAAATATTTGAAAATTACACTCCAAAGTATCGCACTCGTAAGTGCCCAATGCCGCCTCACTGACTCAACCACCTCCACGAACCTGGTTCTGAAAAGTGTGTTTCCTGAAGGGGATATCATTTCACCTTTTTATGCCTTGGCCATGCTAATATATCTCGTCCAGTTAGGGCGCCTTGAAAGGGTGGGCCTCAAAGGCCATTAATGTTATGTGAAAGTATTTTAAATTCGGCATAAAAGCTATTTTATAGTCAACTTCAGAAAATGTGCAAACATGTGCAATGCAGAAAACGTGCGAAAAGGTGTTCAAACGCATAAAGTGGTACATTCATGAAAGAGAAGAAAGGAACCTGCCTAGATCCACTCCTTCAAAATATTCCTGAACTGTTTTCCTGTGCAGAGATCCAAAAAGCCACGTTCACGGGAGCCCCCCCCCCCCCCCTCCCCCACCTCCACTTGACTGGATGCATTGCACGCACATCTCTGTCAAACCGCTCAATGATTTCGCGCCGTGGCACCACCGGCGGGAGAGATAAACTAACAAGACATACCGCAAGACCCACCCCTGGCCCGGCCGCTCTCCTTACCAATAAAGGACCATTCCCGGGTCTGCTGCCCTCTTAGCAATCAAGGACCATCCCCGGGTCTGCCGCCCCCTTACCAATCAAGGACCATCCCCGGGTCTGCCGCCCCCTTACCATCAAGGACCATCCCCGGATCTGCCGCCCTCTTACCAATCAAGGACCATCCCCGGGTCTGCCGCCCCCTTACCAATCAAGGACCATCCCCGGGTCTGCCGCCCCCTTACCAGTCAAGGACCATTCCCGGGTCTGCCGCCCCCCTTACCAATCAAGGACCATCCCCGGGTCTGCCGCCCTCTTATCAATCAAGGACCATCCCCGGGTCTGCCGCCCCCTTACCAATCAAGGACCATCTCCGGGTCTGCCGCCCTCCTTACCAATCAAGGACCATCCCCGGGTCTGCCCCCCTCTTGCCAATCAAGGACCATCCCCGGGTCTGCCGCCCTCCTTACCAATCAAGGACCATCCCCGGGTCTGCTGCCCTCTTGCCAACCAAGAACCAGCACCAACCTGTCCGTCTTCCCAACACATCAAGGACCATCCCCCGACCCAGCCCGCCCCTTAACCAATCGAGGACCATCCCCTGCTCAACCGCCCTTTCCCGAACCAATCAGCGCGACCGAAGCCCCAAGCAGGCCACCCGGTCAGCCTCCAGAGTCGGCCAGCGGCTGAGGTCAACCTCAGAGGCGGGCCTAGGGTACACTCCCCCGCGACGGTTCAAAACCGGGCGACTCCGTATCTCACGAACAGGAAACTAGCGTTGTTAATGACTATACTTTTGTTCCATGCTTAATACGCGCCCGGGTGGCCGGCTAGATACCATTCGCTTGGGGGGGGGGGAGGGGTCAATTTGACCCCCGAGATCTCGGGAACTGAGAAAGCTAGAGACACCAAGGTCAAACTTTCAGGTTCCTAGGTCATGACTTTCGGGTCACAAAAGATCAAAAGGTCCAGTTCTAGGTTGGTCTCCAAAATGCCCCCAGCACCTAGCTAACCGTTTTTAAGCAAAATGTCACATGCTCATTCAAGGTCAGTAACCTTGTTTGACCTTTTGAAGGTCAGAGTGACCAAAATAATACAATACTGCTTTGAGTTTTGCGTTTGACTAAGCGGCATATATTATGTTAGATAGCATGTTCCTAAAACAAAATGTTGACCTGGGTCATTTTAAGTCAGTAGCCTATTCTCACATTTAAGAAGTCAATGGAAGGTGTATAATCCCTTTCTTGTTATCAATAAATTCGAAAGAAGCACCAGAACCTACCCCATACAGCAAGCGCTAGAGTAATACAACAGGTATGGGTTTGACCTTGGTCTGACTTTCATGTCCGACCCTAGGTCAATGGAATTTGTTCATTCAATCGCTGTGTTACCTAAGAAAGTATCTCAGAGATGCATGGCTTTGTCTAACACCCAGTTGTTGGATCAGACTGAACGATTCCCTAGAAACTGCCTTCGCTGAAACCATGGCCCGGCCTGCCATAGGTCAACGACGTTACAACGATCTCAAATTTTACTGCCAGACGATCCGCTATTCAATCGTCTACAGCTATGCAAAATTTGTCGCGGCTGTGCCGCGTCGTTCGGAAACCATTCCGGAAAAACCTTCGGGGGGTAATTTTGACCCCCACCCGAGCGTGTGTTAAAATATGAACAAGTTATGGACTCGTAACAGTGTCTGGGCTTTGTACAACACACGAGTGTTCTTGGTCATCTCCGCAACAATACCAACCCACTTTTAACCAGATTACAAAGGAAATATAAACAAACTTTCACAAAACCACTCCAAACCTGCCTACACGCAAGGATAACAGAGCAGAGCAAGGAGGGGGGGGGGGGGGGAGGGATCTAGCCTTGCGCAGCGTGTTACCGCAGCGTGCAACATCGCGCACAAAACACGGTTAACCAGATAATTTGGCCTCCGCTCTTTCGACGGACGAGAAGAGTTTTAGAGCCGCAGATTGCTGTGACGCGGACCCTGCAGCCTAGTCTGATGCTCGGTGATCTGCTGCCAGCTGACCTTCCTATGTCAGGCGGGCCACACACTGCGCTCGCTCTGGGACTAGTACCAAGTGCAGCCAGAGACCGGGGTCAGCATGTTTCTCCCGGGCCTTCAGGACGGTTTCTAGGGCTTTTTCCGTTGGGCCGGAGCTCCTCGACGAAGTTGGTGGGGCCAGGATTATGTAACCTGCCCTGTTTAGCCATGGAGTGGTCTGGTGAAATTTCTGTAAAAATGATGGAGCAGGGCCACCCCAAATCCTAGAAAGAATCCAAATCAGGCCCAGTGATGGTTCCCCGAGTCATTTTTTGCCCTGCCTTGCACAATTTCTGGCATTCATCACCGGCGAGCACCCAGTGGAAGCTATGACCGTTACGAAGCAGTCTGATGGCGCCTGACCTAACATCGGACTGAAGCATGCACACGTTTTTTCTCTGAAACCGTGGAAGATTGTGGGATATTCTTTTGGTTCGTTTGGTGCAAACTCCCTTTGCTGGGAGTCTGCTCCTTTCTGTACTTCGGCAATTTTTTTTGGCCTCAGCGTGTGCGATGCGTGGCGTATGTGCGGTGTGGGAGGCAAGCACGAAACAGCGGCACTTAAATCATATGGTATTGAATAGCGTTTCATACTTTGGATCATGGCCGTACACTGTTCCTTGGCGTGCGGTAATGGAGATTGTGATACTTTACTATGCAGGGTTGCCGACGGAGACGAACCGTAGAAACGGCAATATCTGAGTTTCTCGAGATGTGTTGAGTGCTAGGCTGCGTTCCCAAATATCGGTTTAAGTCTCTCCTCAGTTGAATTTCAAAATGAAAGTGCGCTGCTCGCTCTTGGAAAATACATTTAAGAAAGTTTCAGAGCTTTTTCATGTCTCTGAATTACCTTTACTAGAAACAGAATTGTGTTCACACAGTATTCCACTCGCAATCACTCAACGGTCATCTACAGAAGCTATCTGCGCTGAGCGTTTAACCTAAGGCATACCTGGAAGGGTAAATGTCCCGAGCGTTTTTCTGCCATCATCGGATGAAAGATACAATGGGCCAAATCGTCATAAAAGCAACGAATAGCAGCTGTGTTTCAGCAGCCCACCACCAGCGTGAAACTCAAAGCAACGTCAAGGCTGCGAGGGAAATTGTGCGACCCACGCCATTGCAAATGTCCTTAGAGTGTCCCACGCTCCGTGCCCGGCCAATTTCTGTTCTTTTCAGGCGTCGTGGGAGGCGAGTGGAAGGAGCGCTGGGAGCTAATTTCCGTTGCGTGTTGGGCGTCGTCGATAACAGCGACTCGGTTGCACCCCCCCCCCCCCCCCTCTTCCCCACCACCGTCGGCAGAAGGCACGGGACTGAAAACACCATCGCATGCACTATAGCTTCGGGGAAATGTAATGATGTCACGATTGATTGAAGCGCAATGTCGTTGCACGACATGGTGAGGCCGTAGGCCAAAATGATGTTAGACAGAGAGGCTAACCGCCAATTCTCCCGCTAAGTGAAATTGTGTACCTCTCCTGGGTGACCTTATCCTTCAGC